TTACAGCAGCCTGAGCTGATGAACACTTAGAGAATATATAAGATGGTCTCATAGACACATATCTTGGGCTGTAGAAGTAGAGAGAAGAAAGGACAAGGAGACACAACACGGAAAAGGTAATATTATGCTCAGGAGTTGACCAAGAATGTGTATTACCAGTTAACATAGCAAAGGAGATCACAGGTAGGGCAGAAAAATTTTTAACCTGAAACTAGCCGCACCTCTCCAAACAGCTGAACTCAAAAGACACAAGACAAGCTTAAAGTCAGTCACAGAGGAAGAACGGGTTATTAAAATGATGGCACAATTTTCAATAGCAACTACCTGAACTATACTAGATGGATAATTTTTCAAAGACCACCAATGAAAAACTTTGTATCTACAGTCAATTATAACTTTTTTGAGTTCTACAAGATACTGTCAATTATTTTTAACATATCCACATAATGCAAAATTATAAACAATTCAAAAATTAAATGACACCAATATATAACTTTTATTACTCTGAAGTCAGAATGTTGAAAGAAGTCTAAGGCAATGTGACATATATGACCCTGCGAGTTATTACATTGTATAATTTTGATAATATATAGATATAATGAAAATGTACATAATTTTATAAGGTGGACATGCCCCAAGTTGTAATTTTCTGAAAAAACTTAAACTATAACTACCATGTGACCCCTCAACCCACTCTCCAGAAGAATTCACAGCAGGACCTCAAAGAGCTATTTGCACACCCACATTCATTGCTGCATTTTTCACAATAGCCAGGAAAAACCCAAATATCCATCAACAGATGACTAGATTTTTAAAGATTTTATTTATTCAGTTTTAGGGTGATGGGAAGGGAAGGAGGAAGAGAGTGAGAGAAACATCAATGTGTGGTTGCCTCTCACGTTCTCTCTACTGGGGACTTGGCCCAAAACACCAGCATGTGCCTGACTGGGAATCGAACCAGTGACCCTTTGGTTCATAGGCTTGCCCTCAATCCACTGAGCCACACCAGCCAGAGTAAAATGACTAGATTAAGAAAATGTGATCTGTACCTACAATGAGCCTTGAAAAGCAGGAAGCTGTTTCACGTGCTATCACAATAATGAACTTCACAGGGTTGTCCAACCTGCAGCCCATGAGCCACATGCAACCCAGGAAGGTTATAAACATAGCCCAACACAAAATCGTAAATTTATTTAAAACCCTTTTTGTTCTTTTTGTTCATCAGTTTTCGTCAGTGTTTGTGTATTTAATGTGTGGCCCAAGACAACTCTTCTTCTTCCAGTGTGGCCCAGAGACACCAAAAGAGCAGACACCCCTGCATCTAGGACAGTAGGTTAAGTGAAATAAGCGAGTCACAAATCGACAAATACTACATGATTCTACTCATGCGAAGTATGTAAAGTCGCTGAACAAGGAAGTGGAAAAGTGGTGGCCCAGGGCTGGGGGAGATGGGGTGAGAATAAGCGTTTAATGTCCATAGAGCAGCAGTGTTGAAGGATGAAAACTTTCTAGACATCTGACACACAGCAGCACAAATACACTTGACACTGCTCAACTATACCCTTAAAAATGATAAGGATGGTCTGAAAAGGGAAGAATCACAGGAATACATTTTCATGACATGAGATTGTCAACAGATTTTTAGATATGACACCAAAAATAAGAGCAACAAAAGAAAAAATAAAGAGGTTCGGCTTCATCAAAAGTAAAGAGGTTTTTCCCTTTCAAAGGACACTGTCAAGAAAACAAAGGACAACCCACAAAATGGGAGAATTTGTGGAAACCACATCTTTGGAAAGCCCCTTTTGACCTGGAGTGTATACAGAACTCTTGGAGCTCCAGAATAAAAGACAAACAAACCAAGTAAATATAAGCAAAGCATGAATACGCATTGCTCCAAAGAAGATAGGTATATGGCTAATAAGTGTGTGAAAAGTTGCTTGATATCAGGGAAACTCAACCTCAACCCACAATGAGATGGCACTTCAGAACCATGGGGCTGGTGACAGGGCTTGCCCCTGTGTCACTGGGATTTCTCCCAGGATGCCATGGATTTCTCCAGGGAATTTACTCCTAGTGGAGGAGGAGGAAGTCTCTGGAGCCAAACCCCAATGGTGCCACCCAGACAGTCCCAGTGCCTGCTGTGCAAGCTGCAGGCTGTGCAACTCAGCCACCTGACCTCTCTGAGCCCACTTTCCTCACAGAAAAATGGTGAAGTGTGACTCTCTCCCAGACTCTCTGTGGACACCTAGTGAGCTACAAGGGGGTGGAGCACCAGAGAGCACTGAGCACACAGGGAGCATGTTCTCTGTATGAGCATCATGATTTCCATGGAGGTTGGCTGGGAGGGCACTGTCATTTCCAGATTCTACTTCAGTCCCTAGTAACTTCTCCCGATTCCTACCTTATGCACTGTCCTTGCAAACAGTCATGTTTGTTGTTCCTCGCCAAAGGTCCTCACAAAGTTTCTTGTTCTGTAACATGGAAGGTTGGCTGCAACAAAGATTTGAAACACTGCTTCTCTTTACTTCCCACTGTCCCTACACTAGTATTTTCCAAAGACTAATGTGCACATCTCTATAGTTGGCATGTGGAGTTGGTTGGTGGAGTTGCACTTACCCGAGATTGAAGCAGTGGTGGTCTCCAGTCTTCCCTCCTGTGAAATCGTCCCTCCTGTGAAATTGTCCCAGAGTGATTTCAGGGTTCACAGGGCTTGCAGGTGGGGGGAGCTCGGATTCTGCCTCCTCCTGGGAACTGTTCCTCCAAACCAGGACTCAAAAGCAGAAACTGCCAGGCAAGTGAGAACAGGCACAGAGAAACCCAAGGGTCAGCTGTGAACCTCATAACAGTGACTGAGGGCCCAACACACACAGAGGTGGAGCAGGTAAGTTCCTTTGCAACACAACTCACTCAGTATTCCCACAACCCTGAGAGGGAAATGTGTAACCCTGTTTCACCACAAACACTCTGCAAGCAGAGAGATCACAGGACTAATCTGCACCAGGGAACAGAAGGGTCCAGGCTCTGTCCCACCACTACCACATTTGCATCCAGTGCCTGCCACCACAGGCAGGGGAGCACTGGGTGGGCACATGGGGAGAATGCTCATCCACTAGAAGTGTCAGCTTCTGGACCAGCCCTACAGCAAACACTGTCTCACATGACCTCTGAGCCCATTTCTCTGTGTGGACAAGGAGAGGGCAGCAGCTGGGGAAAGTGTGGCCCAAGAGGAGAAGTGTCTTCACAAAGTGCCCAGGAGGCCTGGGAGATGTACAGGCTGCTCACTGGCTGCACGAGAGGAGGGAAGGCAGCACAAGAAGGCCCAAGGGATGAACTGTGATTCTGGGGCAGGTAGGTGAGGGTCTGCCATGCTGACATGAGTCCCTTCTTGCCTAAGCTCTTTGTGGGGGACCAGACCACCTACTGCTGCCAGAAACCACCCTGGGCCACAGCTTTGCATGCTGGGTGAAAATGGAACCGTTTCCAGGGAGCCTTCCTGACACAACCTGGGCCCAGGGAAGGAATCAGAACTTTAAACCTAAAGAACAGGCATTGACCAAGAGGAAAGGGGGTGAGGGCAAGGGCATGTCCATGTGGGAGTAGAGCTGGGCCAAGGCAGTTCTGGAGACAGGGGCCTCCTCGGCTCTGCTCTTGTCCCTCACTGCTTGCTCACATAACTCTTACATCTGTGGTTCAGGTCCCTGCTTTGACTGTGGGGTGTGTACCAGCACCCACTGCAGGATGACTGAGGATCCCTCTGTCAGCCTGGATCTCCAGCTTCCAACCAGTCTGGGGCCGCCCATCATCCCCTATTGCCCCTGCTGTAGTGCTCTATGAGAGAAACTGGGTCACGGTGTGTCAGTAGGAATTGTTTTCCACGCAAATATAATTCTTCTCAACATGGGTTCACCCAAGAGTACGCCCATAGTTGGGAGGGAAGACACAGTAGTTGTGGGTGTCCGTGAAGACACATGGTCACTGAGCCCAGTCCCCTAGCCACAGCAGATGGGTCCTCCTTCCTCAGTTGGACAAGACACTCCCACACCAATCCTGCAAGGGACTTGGTATCCTCTCCATCCACTGTCATTTCCTCATTTACACACCTCTCACAGGCAACCCATTACTCTCTCGTCACCCCTCATTCCAGTCTCACCACCTCCTCCACCCTCCACACTTAATCATTCCACTGAGACAGGAGGACACTTCTCCTGCAAACAGGCACACAGACAGACAGCCTGTCCCCTGAAGCCAAGTCTTTTCCTCTCCAGTCAGACCACTCACACAGGAAACCCTGGGAGAGCTGAGGATTGTGCGGCCTCCTGGCGTGACTGCTTCTGGGAAGCACAATGAAGCTCCCTAAAGACAAGGCTGACTCCAGTCCATCCCAGAAACCTGGTTTGTGGCCCAGAGGGCTTAAAGTCTCCAAAGCAGCTGCTCATTTCTAGAAGGTTCAGGATACAGATAATGATGAGAGGCCCCAGGAAGCCCAGCACCTAGGCTAGCCTTGGGAGTAGGGGTAAAGGGAAGGCTCCCTGGGGATCAGGGATCTGTGGGCTCCCAGGAGCAGTTGGAGGGCACCCCCATCAAACTGGAAGCAGGGACTGAAGTGTCACCTGACAATCCATAACACCCATGACCTCCGCATTTGCTTTTCCTCTTGGTGCCCCTCACTGAGAAGCAGCCCTCAGAGCATTTCTAAACAAAACCATCTTTATTCCTAATTAATACACAATGCCCCAAAGGGGTGCTGTTCTCCCCCCCCACACACCACCATTGCCCAGGCCCACCCCCCTCTAATGTTCCCGCCCTCCCTCCTTGTCTCCCACATCCCCTCCCATGTCAGTAGAACACCCCTCTCCCAGCTTTTCACAGGTCCACACCCACCCTAATATTCCTTCCCTCCCTCCTTGCCTCTCACCCTCCTTCCCATGTCAGTAGAACAGCCAGAATCAGCCCCTGGGTGACAAATGAGCCCTTGGCTCCTCTGAGGAACAGCCAGGTCATATCTGGTTTGGGCACCCCCATCTTGTCTGAGGCTGGCAGTGGGAGGGACATGGCGCTGCTCCATAGTAGCTGCACTGCCGCTTCCTCCAAGTCCCTGTGACAGACTGGTCACACTTTCTCTTTTGGGTCTGGGACTGGGCAGCTGGCCTGCGCCCCCGACCTTCAGGGCAGGCAAGGCCTGGGGCAGAGACAGGACTCAGAGAGAGAGTACAGGGCAGCAGGTTCTTAGGAGAGGCCATGAGGAAGGTCAGACTGGGGAGGTCCTCCTCATTCTCACTGGGCCTGCCCATTGACCTGAGAGTTTCTCTAACAAGAGAGGTCTCTCTGGGAGTAGAGGCATCCCTGGGCACCCGCCTACAGTAAGTGTGCTTGTACCCCTGGGGAAGAGGGGAGAAGCATGGAGCCCTCAGTGCTGGGCACTCCTGATGTCCTGATGAGACAGCAAAGGCTTTGGGCTTGGTCAGGTGTGCATCTCCTCCACCTTGCTTTTGACGGCCCTGGAAGTCAGTCTCTGCTGAGAAGCCTTTGTCACTGACCCCCAGCTGGGGGTGGTGGGCACACCTCTGGGCATCCTGGCTGGCCACAGACTCTGAAGGACTTGAGTCCAATTGGGGTGCACCATGACTCTGGGGTGCCTGCACACCCTCCTCCACCTTGGAGGCCAGGACCTCGTACTCTACTGGCTGAAAGGAAGAGGAGGACAGCGATTGTCTCCACACACATTTGTGAGAGATGGAGGTGTGTGGGTGATGGGACAATGGCATTAGGGGGAGGAGGGCAGGGGGTGACACCATGACTCAAATCCCAAATAGACACGTGGCTCTCTTGCTATCCTCCTGTCTTGTATTCCCAGCTCTGTGTCCTTCCCTCCCCTTCTGGTCTCCCCAAATTCCTTCCTATCATCCTCTTCTTTTCATAGTCCTCTCTTTCTAGCTTTCCTGCACTGCCTGCAGCCCAGAGGTGCCCCCCCAGTGCCATGCCTACAGGCAGGGGTGGGGTGGAGAGAGTCACATGCACCCCTGTTCTGGGTTGCTCCAGGCCCTGCTTTACCAGATGCTCCCTCCTGTGGCTCACCTGGGGTCCCCTAACCCCTTATCTACCTGGAGTCCCTCCCTTCCTGACCCACCTAGAGTTCCCTCCCATCCTCCTAAGTTTTCTCCCTACCCTGGCTCACCTGGACAGGAGGGAGTCCTAACTGCTGTGCCATCTTTTCAGCTTCAGGCAGGAATTCCAGCATTGCTTCTATGGTAACCACTTGTTTCAGGAGTTCGTCGGGAATGGCCTTCACCTGGGGCAAAAGGAAGAGGCTGTGAGTAACTTGTGAGTCAGCAGAACATAGAGGAAAAGTGGAAAAGCAAAGGCCCACCACATCCTCTTGTACAAGGTGGGTGTTTTACACCCTCTTGGTCCTTACCTACACATATTCACATAAGAATATCTGCACACAGATAGCACACCACACACATACACACACACATTGCAGGGCTGGGTTCTAGAGCGCCACTCCCTGGAATCCTGTCGACCCCAGAGCTCTGACCCAACCCACCTGGGTGACATAGTCGTCCTGGTCACACAGATATTCAAGGTACTTCAGGAGACCCAGGTCCAGGCAAGTCTCATCCTGTCCCTGCTGCAACTCCTTTCTGTCCTCTTCCCGTTCTCCACCTTTGTCCCCTGTGGCTGAGTGGGTCAGCCCCTCCAACTCATCCATGATGTCCATGTACTCTTGTACGGCTTCAGGGGGGATCTCATCAGATGTCTCAGTCTCCTGGGTCACCTGGGGTCTGTGGGCACCCTGGGCCCTGGGTATGTCCTCCATGGGAATGCACACTGGGGCAGAGAGGGAAGAGCAGGAAGTGTGAGGGGCTCCAGATCCCCGGTCCTGAGAATCCGATGGTGAGGGCAGTGTTTGGGAGCACTAACTTGGGCGTGGCTGGGTCAGCACCACCTGAAGCCATGTGACTGTGTGAAGAGAGAGGCCAGGTGGGAGTAGCCAAGAGAGGCACGTGTCAGGTTCTGTGGAGCCACAGATTCTCCAAGGGAGCCCCTAACCAGCCAGTATCTTAGCAGACTTCATGTTGGGTCATTTTACAGGGAGGTGGGAGAGGGGTTGCAAAAGTTGACCAGATCCAGACCCCATGGTGACCAAGGGCAGCTGAGGCCCTGGCTCTTGTGGCTGTTCCACTTGAAGATCAAAGTCCCCTTGAAGGGAAATGACACAGATGGGGACACTGGCCTGCCCTGGGCTTCTGTTGCCATTGACCATAGACTCTAGTAGGAACACTCTGTTGTACCTGGCTGTGGGCCCACCATATGGGCTGAGGGTCCCTGAGGATCAGGTCTCGGTGGGGCTGCTGGATGCAGGCCTTGTGCCCCCTTCATCAACTGCAACTTCTGAATCTGCATCTCCTCCTCTGCCTCAAGCTCCATGAACCTGGAGGGTGAGGAAGGCACAAGCTGTACTGAGGAGGAGGCCACACTGAGCCCAGCAAAGGCAGCCGCTGATGGAAGGATGGGGAGCAAGTGCCCTGTGGCTCTCATGGCCCAGGCCACTGAGGAGGCAGGAGGTGGGCTGGTGGAAAACATGCCCTGCACGGCTGCCCCTCTGGCTGGAGTCTGAGCCCACTGGGTTGGGCACATTCATTCCAGCCTGCCCTGAGCCTTCATGTTGACCTAAGGATGGCTCAATATCAGAGGATGGTGGAGCTACCAGAGGTAGCCCAGAAGAACCCACGTTCCAAAGGTGAGGGAGAGGCATGCAGAGAGGACAAGGGCCTCTGGGCTATGGGGACCTGGTGCTGACCAAGAACATCCATTTTGGTGAGCAGCATCACAGCAGGACCCCATCTTGCAATCAACCCCCATCACCACACCCCACACTGCTGTCAGCCCCCCAACCCCCATATATACACACAGCTTTTGGGACTCATAACCCTGACTCACGTTTCTGCCATCTCGTAATAGGTCATCCGGTCATAGTTGCTTTTGCGATCCCACTCCTGCATGGCCTGCCCTATTCCCTCCTCCAAAGTCATGGTGGGCTTCAGGTGGGAGAGCGAGCGGAGCACTGGGCTGTAATACCTCAGGTTCAGTCACAGTGTACAACTTGGCCTCCACCCAGCTCTGTGGAGCACAAGTTCCCCCTTTCCCACCCAGCATGAGCTCCAGCAGGTGAGGGAGGAGGTGTGTGTGAGTGCAAAGGGAAGACTTTCCAGCTACTGTTATTGCGGCTGCACTCTCTCACCAGCCCATGAACCTGGACTTGAGGCTGATCCCCCCCTCCCACTTGTACCCTGGGACACCACCCTCAGACCTTCCCCCCAGTACCCCAGACAGTAAGCCAGCCTGCAGGTCCATCCCACATTCCTCTGTTATGTGAAAGCTCCAGGTAAGTGCCCTGTGCCCCTGCCCAGTACACTCACATGAGAAAGCAGGAAAGAGCTTCTGCATCAGGACTCTGGAGAAGGTGCCCACGGGCCAGGACCTTGAAGCGACGCCAACGTTGGAAGTTCTCATACATGTTCTTGGGGTTATAGAAGTCATCTGGAAAGGCCTGGGACTGAGAGGTGGCCAGGCCACCCTTGCTGCAAGCCCCAGGTAGCTGAGGCCAAGCGTTCACTGGAGGGATGATGGAGGCCAGCTGTGCAGTTGTTGGTGGAGCTTGAGGAGGAAGGCTGGGATACCAGCCTCCCTTGCCAGCTGGGGCACCCCCCAAAGCCAAGGTAGACAAAATGGTCTCCACTGCAGAGGCTTCCAAGAATGGAGGTGCAGGACACACAGCACCACCACAGAGGGCCTCTGGAGCACTCTTGTTGAGGGGTGCCTGTGTCAGGACGATGGTCTCAGTCTGGGGTGGCTGTGGTTGCCCCACTTCTGACCTGACCTGGTCCATGATGTTGCAAGCCCCAGTCCCAACGAGACCACGAGCAGCATCTCTCGCTGCCAGAGGGGCACTGGGCAAACCTGGCAGTGCCAGAGGGAAGCCAGGAGGCAGTGACGGGGTTGTCAGGGGCAGCAGAAGCTGCTCTCCAAGAGACTGGTGTTCAGGGCCAACAGTCAGCTGGGGAAAGGGCAGTGTGGTGAAAGGAGTCATGGAGGCACCAGGGTTCAGGGTCGTATCCAGTCCAAGCACTGCAGATGCTGTTGAGACAAAGAGAAGTGAAGAATGGAGTGTGAGAGTCAGCAAACAGGACTGAGTTTCTCTGCTTCCTTTTGAGCTGCTGGGGAATCAGAGCTGTGAGTCTCAACAGAGAAGTGCCATTTGGATGGGGTGAAACTGTGGAATCTGCCAATGTCCTAGAAGCCTTATGCTCTGACCTCCAGTCGAGAATTTCTCCACTGGAGTGCTTGCTCCCCATTCGCTAAGGCTCCTTGACCACTGACTGCTGAGGAGAGAGAGCCCCAGCCAGCGCTGACTCCAAGAGCCTCCCTGAGCATTCCCTGGCACCAAACTCTGTCAGCCTCAGAGGCTGTCTCCCAAGACATGGCAGTGGGCAGCAACCTGCTCTGTGGGAAATGACTGTAGGCAGACACACTAGTGGTAGTGACCTCCTCCCAGCTAAGTTCTAGGCACCCAGAGTGCCTTTGTGAACAGACAGTCTCCAAAGTATTAGGACCTCATCTGCATCTCTGCTCTCCTTTTCCTCAAAGTTCATGGCTCTCCCTTCTTGGTCATGCATAACAACACAAAAACCCTGGAGTAGTATCTCTCCACAAGAAGCAACCCTGATATAACCTCTTAACACATCAGCCCAGCATGCACATGTATGTCAGAAGCAAAAAGAGCAAACACCTAACAGGGACCAGGTTCTGTCACTCTGGCCCCCATTCTCAGAGTATTTGTCACCCTCAGGAGCTCTATTGTCAGGAGACTGATCTGGGAGGTAATAAGTACTTTGTCCCTCAGATTTTGTCATTTCGAGGCCTGCAGTGGCTGTAGAGATAAAAAGGGCCGGGGGACAGAGAACACTGGGGCTGTCCATGGGTTTCCAGAACTTTGCACTGGTCCTGGGACTGCAGACTGTCTGTGGTCCTACCCTTGCATACTCCCAACAATAGAAAGTGAAGATGCATGAGCCAGGTGTCAGAGGGACAAAACTGTCTGGAACACATCCCTGTTCAGAGGACCTGATGCACACTCTACTTCAGAAAAAGAAGCCACACATGACGTGCCCCTGAATAATCAGGACAGGTGTCCTGGGACTCTTGCTCAATATACAAAGACCACCCTCCTGCTTCTGTGCTACTCCCCTTGCCCCCTTTAAAACAGGAATCTGCTTCGCTGATGCTTCATGGGAAAACCAACCACCCTCCACATCTTTTCTGTCTGTGAAGCAGTGATATGGAATATGAACAAACCCTTTGACGAACTAAGTTGCCACAGAGGGGGGAAAATTCTGGACAAGTCAAAGAACAGAGCCCTTTTGTGGTGCAAGTTACCTGGCTGCCCTGCCCCTGTGGAATATAAGACAACAAACAGCAGCTCCATGGGCTGAGGAGAAGTGAGCTCTGGGCTGGACAGAATGGAGAAGTGTGGGCTACAGCAGTTGGACTACCTTCCAACCTCACCCTCAGGGAGGACATTTCAGTGTAAACTTGGCCACAGCCAGCCCTACTGGACAACTTTCTGGCTAACACCACCTCTTCTCACTGCCCCCATTAGCTCTAGTATACTGAGTTCAAGTCCCTTAGAAAGATACTGTGGGGCAAGCTCCAGGTGCCTGAAGAACAGGACACAGGACTAGGCTTTCCCGTGCCCCTCCCTGTTTCACCACCTGACATGACCCACTAGTCCATACACACATGTCGAATTGGCTTGTCTCCAGTCTAAACAGAATGCATGTGCCTGCTGCTGTCCTTTCTCCACACCCAGGCATGTCTCCAGAGTCACCCTGATTCACATCTCGGGAGCCCTCCTGTCCATTGCCATCACAGGTTTCCTTTGGCTCCCAGCCTCCCCAGGTGACAGGTCTGTGGAGGTCCAGTGCCCTCTCCTTCCTCTCCTTCAGTCCAAACTATGTTTCCCCAGTGGAAGTGTCACATTTAAACCCCTAGTTTTGAGGGGCAGCCCTGTCTCTGAAACAATCCCATCTTGGACCTACAGGCTTACCTCCTTCTGAAGTCATCCTCACAAGCTGAGACACTGACCACTGCTGCCAAGTAGCCTCTGCAATGATAAAATTCCAGTACAGGAACTAGAGAGTGACCTGCTCCAACAGATGCTCAGCATCCAGTGGAGGGAAGTGTTTGAATTTAAACTGCAGAATGTAGGGCTCCAGACATTCCGCAGCGGGGGAGGGGCCGAGGCCTGGTAGGCTGGAGTGTGGTGGGGCTGGGGGGAGGGTGGATGTTCCATAGAGGGCTCCCACAGGTAGGCAAGAACCAGAAGTTCCTTTCAAGTATTAAGTGGCAACAGATATGATGTTGCCACTTTAAGCTATTTATACATGGGTTTTTTTTGGTTTTTTTTTAGGTTCACGGCACAGAGGCTTTACTTGATGTTCCTTTATTTCAGTTCTTGATCCATCAACCTGGGTTGGGGTCCCTCAACCTGCTTCTTATCTGGCTCTTGACTTATTTCAACACAGGCTGTGCTTTCTGAATAAAATTCAAATGTATAACCTGAAAAAATAATAGGTACTTATGTATGGCCACATAAATCCCAGGGTTTGAAATTAGGAGTGACTCTGTAGATATAGCAGGTACACGTCATTCTTTAGGAAACAGTGCTGTGGCCCCCAGTAGTGTCCACTGCTGGAAGCTCTAGAGAGTGCAGCCAGCCCAGCCTTAATAACCATGACTTGCTCCAGCCCAGCATGTGCATGTGAATCATGGTAGCACTCCTCAGAAAAACTTGTTTGATTCTTTATTTCATAAGTTCATTTCATAAACTGCATAAATGTCAGTTTATCACTGTCAAAATTATCTGCACAGGCATTTGTGTTTTGTGCTGTTGAAGGAGAGAATTTTTAGGAAATTGGTCAAGGGATTTGAGAGGTGATGATTTTGGAGGATTGCCACCCTATCTTTTAAAAGACAAGCTTCATGCCTTGCAGTAGCAGCAGAGTTCCTACTGGTGATGGTAAGGTGAAGGACTGTTGCATGCTGAGAACATTCTCTGAAAAAGATTCTCTATGGCCTTAAGACATTTCTGTCTACCACTACCGCCCCCCCCGACTGTGACAAAAAAATTGGCACAGAATAAGATGAGAAGATGAGGTAAGAGCAATTCAAGTGAAATCATGGTAGACTTTATTTAAAACAAACAAACAAACAAACAAACAAACAAACAAACTACTGCAGGGATTGAAAGAAGAAACAAGTGAAACATATTTCTCAGGACTTGAACTTTTATCATGGGGAGACCTTGAACAGTAGTACAAGATCCCATGCTTGTGTCTTGTGGAGTTTTCAGTCTGTGCACTTGGAGAAGCTTAGTGTTCTTAGATACGAGTGGTCTTCAGAGTTATCCTGTGGAGTGAGAAATGGTCTCATCTTGCAAATGACCACAGAGAGGATGTGACGATGATTGCAGTTGCTTCGGAAAGTATGACAAACTCAAGTCCCTGAGTTGGTTCTGCTACTAGAGATATGATTTGTACTGCCGACTGAAAGTCTGCAAAAGAATATGAAAAAGGATAGACAGGTGAGTGAAATTGTTGCCAAATCTTGATCAATGTTGTAACAAAGGGAACATCGATGAATCATCATGTATTGAAAAACTTTCATGTACCAAGTAAATATACTAAGAAAAATATTCTAGTTCAGTAAATGGGCTTCAAAAACTGTAAGAATGGAACGATGGAAAGCATGTCTTCGAGTGTTTCCAGGTCTACAATTCTTGGCCAGAACTGTGAAATGGAACATGCAGACTCGGTAGGATTGAGGGCCTACAGTTTTCGGAATCCCCGGAAATGCATTCACAGGGCATGAAGGCACTTGTGCCAATTTGTGGATAAGTGCTTTAGGCAGACATCTCCAAAACTCTTCCACAAGGGTAGTATTTAAATTTGCACATTTGTCATTTTAAACCCCTAAGTACACATTTTACACATGCTAGTCAGGGAGCTTCCTGAGGAGGAGGAGAAGGAAGAGCAAGAGAAGGAGAAGGGGGAAGGGCTGGAGGATTTCCATTAATATGCTTCCCAGGGAGTCCTACGTTCCAGGGTACCTCGAGCCCGGGACCTACGCGCATGCCCACTGGGGCGTGAGGCAGGCCTCTCCCAACGTCCAGCAACGACCTGCAACGGGCTCCCAGAGTTCGTTGCGGTGGTTGGGCCTGTAGGTGCGCATGCGCGAGCCTGGCTGCGGGGCGGCCAACGGCCGTCGAAGTTGGGCACCTGGACTGGCGTCGCTTTTATGAAGGATGAGGTAGGGGATGGTCATACCGTTTGTCCCCTCAGGCGTCAGGGCTCTGCAGTGTTGTTCAGGCTGTGGGCTGTTTGTTACCCAGGGCTGTTTTCCTACCCCAACACAGCCCACTTCCGGTGTCGTTTACGTCAGGGGATGGGCAACACTGGGAGGGGGGCAGAGTCTGTTTAGTGACCGCTGGTCTGCTAATAAGCGTGTGAGGTATGGAATTCCGCGGGTCGTGGTGTCCCCTGCATTCAGAATAATACGAGAGCCCTGGGGCAGTTCTTCCAAAGTTGCACATCGTCCTCCAGTTCGGCAAGAAGTAGCTCAAGTCCTTGGAAACGAGGGCCAACAGGGTAAGCTTTCACCTACTTCCTCACAGTTTCACTAATGCCTTTCTTAGCGTGAAAACCTCAACCAACGATGTCGTTCAAACTGCACTCTTGTCAATGAGGTGAGCGACTTTGCTGGATCTGATAGTGATGCAGTGTGTTGCCAGATCATGGGGTTGCAAGCACAGATGGGGTTTGTGCGTATTTAGTTGGTTGGTGGGCATCCAATGTGTGTATGCAAATGTGTGAGTTCGTTTTTCGGTTGGAGGGAATTTGATGTGTGTTTTCAAATGTGTGGGTTCGTTTCTTGGTTGGTGGACATCTGATACGTATTGAAATGTGTGAGTTCATTTTGTGGGTGGATATTTGTGATTACGGGGATGTTGTGTGTGTGTTTTTGAGAGGGTAACTGCCTGTGCTGGGCTTGAGGGCTTCAGGAAGAGTCTATGCTTCAAACTGAGACCAGCTGCAACTAGTGCCAGACTGGGGACAGCTTAGCAAGAGGTACAGGACATTCTGAGACCATCTACCGCTTATTTCAGGTTTTGGGACTTTTCAGAAATTAAAGGGAAGTTCACAGCCTGCGCTGAGGTCAGCCACTTGTGAGTAACAGCTGGTGAAAGAGGTCCGAGCTATGGGCCATTTGGATGGTGCAGGTTCCCAGGGAATCACCAGGGTGGGGTGAGTTTGTTGGAGACTCAGATTTGGCACCTGCCAGTGACTACAGGCTGAGTGGGGTGAGGGCTCAGCAAATGGACAAAGGCACCTACCAGCACTTTAGTCCAGCAGAGAGCTGCACCTTCAGTTCTCACCCTGAAGCTAAACAATTCAGTTCCTCCTGGTATATCCCTGGTGCTTTTTGAGCCGCTGCCCCAGCACTGGAACTTAAAGTAAGTGAGTTCATCAGCAAGTATGATGACCACTTGGGACTCCAGGAGCCCTCTGCCTCAGCTGAATGGAATCCTCCTGATTTTCACAGCTAGATGTTATGAGGACTCCTCCTTTGAGGACTGGTGGTTAGGCTGGGAGGCTGGTGTGATTCTGGAACCCCTCACTCCTCAGGAGAGAAAGCAGAAATATCCCTCCTGATTCTTAACTGCCACACATGTAAATGGAACCTTCTCTTTTTGTGTCTCTACCCATCCTACCAGTCTAAAGTGGCTTCTTTTTAATATATCGTTAGTTATAAGTGTTCTGTTTTCTTAGTCTTTAGGTGGTTGATAAAGGTTGTTGTTATATGATTTAGGTGTAATTTTGTTGTAGTTTTTGTATATTGCAACTTTACTAAGTTCATTTATTTGTTTTAATCTTTTGTGTGTTTATATGGAGTCATTACAACTTTGTATATAAAGCATCATCTCCTCTGAAAATAGTGACAGTTTTACTTTCTTCTTTCCAATTTGAATGCAATTTTATTTCTTTTTCTTCTCTGATTACTGTGACTAGGACTTCTAAAACTGTGTTGAATTAAAATGATAAGAATCGGTATCCTGGTCTTGTTCCTTATCTCAGAGGAAAAACTTTCAGCTTTGAATATGATGTTGAACCATTGAATATGATGTTACCTATGGATTTGTCATACAGGACCTTTATTACATTGAGGAATGTCTCCTCCTACCCTCTTTGTTGAGACTTTTCTTACAAAAGGATGTTGAATTTAGTCAAATGCATTTTGTGCATTCATTGACATAATCATATGATTTTTATCCTTCATTTTGTTGATGCGATGTGTCACATGGATTAATGTGCAGATACTGAATCATCCTTGCCTCTCTGGAGTAATGCCACTTGATTGTGCTGTATGATTATTTTAATGCGTTGTTGACTTGGGTTTTCTTATATTTTGTTGAGAATTTTTGCATTTATGTTTTATTTATTTTATTTTTAAAATATATTTTATTGATTATGGTATTATACTTGTTCCATTCCCCCCTTCATTTCCCTCCACCTTGCACACCCCCTCCCACCCACATTCCTCCCCCTTAGTCCACATCCATGTGTTAAATTCTTTAGATTCTATATTTCCCAAACTATTCTTGCCCTCCCCCTCTCTATTTTCTACCTACCGTCTATGCTACTTATTCTCTACCTTTTCCCCTTCTCTCCTCCTTCCACTCTTCTGTTGCTAACCCTCCATGTGATCTCCATTTCTGTGGTTCTGGTCCTGTTCTAGCTGTCTGCTTAGTTTGCTTTTGTTTTAGGTGTGCTTATTAATAACTGTGAGTCTGCTGTCTTTTTACTGTTCATGTTTTCTATCTTCTTTTCTTTTAGATAAGTCCCTTTAACATTTTATAAAATAAGGGCTTGGTGATAATGAACTCCTTGAACTTGACCTTATCTGAGAAGCACTTTATCTGCTCTTTCATTGTAAATGAAAGCTTTGCTGGAAAGAGCAATCTTGGATATAGGTTCTTGCCTTTCATGACTTGGAATACTTCTTTCTAGCCCCTTCTCTCCTGTAAGGTCTCTTTTGAGAAATCAGCTGACAGTCTGATGGGTGCTCCTTTGTAGGTAAGACTGACAGTCTGACGGGTACTCCTTTGTAGGTAAGAGATAAGACTTTCCCCTTATCTCTTGCTGCTTCTAGAATTCTCCCCTTTATTTTAATCTTGGGTAATGTAATTGTGATGTGCCTTGGTGTGTTCCTCCTTGGGTCTAACTTCTTTGGGACTCTCTGAGCTTCCTGGAATTCCTAGAAGTCCATTTCCTTAGCCAGATTGGGGAAGTTCTCTTTTATTATTTGTTCAAATAAGGTTTCCACTTGTTGCTCTTCCTCTTCTTCTTCTGGTACCTTTATAATTTGGATGTTGAAACGTTTAAATATGTCCTGGAGGTTCCTAAGCCTTTCTTCATTTTTTTTGAATTCTTGTTTCTTCATTCTTTTCTGTTTGGTTGTTTCTTTCTTCCTTCTGGTCTACTCCATTGATTTAAGTCCCAGTTTTCTTCCAATCACTATTGGTTCCCTGTACATTTTGCTTCATTTCACTTAGTGTAGCCTTCATTTTTTCATCCAATTTGCGACCAAAATCAACCAGTTCTGTGAGCGTCCTGATCACCTGTGCTTTGAACTGTGCATCTGATAGGTTGGCTATCTCTTTGTTGCTTACATGTATTGGCTCTGGGGCTTTGATCTGCTCTTCCATTTAAGCCATTTTTGGGGGGTCTGGTCATGCCTGTTATGTAGTGAGGGGAGGATCTTTAGGTGTTTCCCAGGTGGGGCAACCCAGTTGTGAGCTGGGTTGTGAGCCGTATGTGGTGGAGGGGTCCAAGAGGGAACAATGGTGCTTACTCCGCTATCTCTCGGATTCCAGTCTTTTCTGCTACTTCCTACAAGCAAATTATGCCCTTTCGGTGCTTGTTCCTGGGTGGGTGGGCTTGTGTACTTTCTAGGACCCTGTGGGTCTCTCCAATGAACTGTACTGCGAGGCTGGGAGTCTCTCCCGGCACCTCAACCTCCACAAATGTTTTCAGTCAGGGCTTTTAGGCTTTATTTCCCCATGTTGGGGCCCTGGGTTGTGTGGTCTATCTCACTGCCCATTTTTGTCTGATTTATCTGCATTTGAATTTGTAATTGTGGTCAGTCAGCCGCCTTGCACACCTTGCTGGGTCTGCTTGTTGCCACCCTGCACTGGGGGGTTGGCCAGCCACTGCTTTTTCCTGCTGCTACCCCTCTTCTCTGGCCGCCGACTCCACCCCTGGATGGATGGTTACCACTCTGGATGAATGGTTGTCGGACTTCTGTACAGTTCAGTTTTCTATCAGTTCTGATTGTTTGTTTCTAAATTTTTGTTATTTTTAATTTTGGTTGTTCAAGGAGGCACAGTGTGTCTACCTATGGCACAGTGTGTCTATCTGTGGCGTAGTGTGTCTACCTATGCCTTCATCTTCACCAGAACTCACATTTATGTTTATCAGAGGTATGTTTCTGTCATTTTCTTTTTTCGATAGTGTCATTTTCTGTTTTTATTATCAGTGTAAGGTTAGCTTCACAGAATGAGGTAAGCATTCTTGTCTGTAAAGCCATCTGGTTCTGGACTTTGTTTGTCAGGAGTTTTTGAATACTGGTTCAATTTCAATGCTAGAAATTGGTGTTACCAGATTTTGCTTTTTTCTGATTCAGTTTTGTAACATTGTGTTTCTAAGAATTGACCCACTCCTTCTAGGTTATCCAATTTTCTGGTGTATAATTGTTCATTGTATTCTCTCATTTCTTCAGTTGAGTCTCTATGCTATAAACTTTGTTCTTTGAACTGCTTTTCTTGTCCTATAGATTTTTGGAATATTTCCATTTTAATTTGTCTCAAGGTTTTTAAAATTTTATCTTTGATTTATTCATTTATCCTTTGGGTGTTTCTTAGCATCTTGTTTAGCCTCCACATGTTTGTGTTTTTCTTGGTTTCTTCTTGTAGTTGATTTCTAGTTTCATACTGTGGTGCCAGAAAAGATGCTTGATATGATATCTGTTTTCTTAGATTTATTGAAATTGTTTTGTGACCTGACATGATCTATTTTGGAGAATGTTCCATGTGAATTTGCAAAGAATGTGTTTTCTGGTGTTTTGGGTGAAATGTTCTTTACATATTTATTAACTCTATCTGATGTAATGTGCCATTTAAAGCTAGTGTTTCTTTGTTCATTTTCTATTTACATCCATTGATGTAAATTGGGTGTTAAAATCCCCTACTATTATTGTATGACTAT